ATGCTTCTCGTTATGCATGCCTATCTCCTTCTCCTCTGGGCTTTTGATTCATGGTACTTCCAGTGCTGGGACACTTGGATACCAAGCGACTGAAAAACCAGTTGAGCTTGGTGATGGTGGTGCAAACCTATAACCATGTCACTCGGGAGTCTGAGGCAGGTGGATCATGAGTTCAAGGCCAGCTTGAGTCATGTAGTAAGATTGTGTCTCAAGAAACAAAAAGGAATTTAAAAGAAATAAGAAAATGAACTGTAACATGAGGGCTTGGCTTGTTGGGGTATCTGTCCTGCCCGGCACCCCACAACTGGCAATTCCCAAAGAAAATCACACACAAGACTCCATAAGATTATAAACTGATTGGCCCATTAGGTCAGGCTTCTTATTAGTCCTTGTAACTTATATTAATCCATTATCATTATCTATGTTAGCCATATGGCTTGGTACCTTTTTCAGCTGGGCAGGTTACATCCTGTCTCTTCGGTGGTCTGCGCAGGAGTGCAGAGGGGACTTCCTCGCCCCTAGCCTTCTCCTATTCTCATTGCCCCACCTCTACTTCCTGTCTGGTTGACCCGCCTATGCTTCCTGCCTGGCCAATCAGCGTTTTATTAAAATACATGATTGACAGAATACAGACAATTCTCCCGCACAAATGAACCATCTTCCTCTACCTGCTGCTACCAAATAATCTAGTGAAAATGGTAATATATTTCTACTAACATTAATATTATATTTCTGAAAAGAGAAATAAGAAAAAGAGAAAAGATTGACTTCCTCCTTTCCTATTTGAATCTTCTTGATCTCCTTTTGTTGTCTTATTGCTATTGCCAAAGCTTCAAGAAGTATGTTGAAGACATATGGAGAAACTGGACAGCCTTGTCTTGTTCCTGATTTTAGTGAAATCTCTTTGAGTTTCTCTCCTTTTAAAATGATGTTGGCTGTCAGCTTGCTGAATATTGCTTTGATTATATTTAGGTAATTTTCTTGTATCCCTGACCTCTCCAAGACCTTTATCTGGAGGGGTATTGGATTTTTGTCAAATGCTTTTTCAGCAACTAATTAAATGATCACATTTTTTTTCAGTTTACTTATATGATAGACTACATTGATAAACTTGCATATGTTGAACCAGCCTTGCATCCCTGGGATGAAGCTAACTTGATCATGGTGGATGACAGCAACTGATGGAAACAGAGTCAGAAACCCGCATCAGAGCACTGGACTGAGCTCCCAAAGTCCAGTTGAATAGTGGGAAGAATGAAAATATGAGCAAAGAGGTCAAGACCGTGATGGGTTCATCCACTGAAATAGTCTACCTGGGCTAATAGGGGCTCACCAACTCAAGCCGGACTGGGAAGGAACAAGCATAGGACCAAACTAGTCCCTCTGAATGTGATTGACAGTTGCATGGCTGTGGCAGACTGAGGGGTCACTGGCAGTGGCACCAGGATTTATCCCTGCTGCATATACTGGCCTTTTGGGAACCCATTCTCTTTGGATGTATACCTTGATCAGCCTAGCTATAGTAGGGAGGGCCTTGGACCTTTAACAAAGTAATGTGGCTTACCCTCTCTGAGGATTGGAGAGGGTGGGGTGGAAAGGTGTCATGGGGGAATGGGAGGAGGGGAGGGAGTGGGAACCTGGATTGATATATTTTTAAAAATCCAATAAATTAAAAAAAAAGAAAAAGAGAAAATAAAAATGATAATTTGTCACATAACTGCAGAAAACAAAGTTTATCTGATACAGTTAGGGTAATTTTTTTTAAAAAAATAAATTTTGTTATACTGGGTTCCAATAAAGTCATGTTCATATAATTAAAATATCACACATGTGGCTTGGCATTTGTGTCCCCATATTAGACAGTGCCACTTTTGGAGGTTCACAGAGCAGAACATTACATAAAGATTTTGAAAAATCTTTTTAGGAAGACTTTTAAAGGTGTCTTGATACAGAAATTACTGAATGTCCCAACCACAATTATTTTGATTTTCTTACTGTTACCATCGAATGGATGAGAAAACCATGAGACATTGGTACATGTAATATGAGTTCATCTGAGAATGGAGTTCACTTACAATGTTTTCAGAGGGGAACTAATTAAATTAGAGAAAAAGTAAGTACTTATATTGCAAAGAAACAAATCTTATATGCCAAATAGTGCTTGGGTCTCTCTCTATGGAGTGGGGGAGGAGAGAAAGAGAGATGGGGGGCACCCCTTTACTGATTTGGAGCCGTGAAGCACATCCTCAAAGTAAAACAGTATGGAAATGTCATGTAGACCAAGACTGTTACACGTATATTAATTATTATATATAATTATATTAATTCTATTAATATGTTAATTGTAATATGTGTATATTACATATACTTATATAGAACATATATATGGTATATATGTATACATATTTATGTATATCAACTCTAGTATTAGTTGATATTTTATATATAATAAGGAAGAAATTGAGTCATTAAAAATCAGAGACTTTGGAATGAACAGACTCAAGCTCAAATCTAGATTCTACCACAGTGGGACCTAAGAGCTCTCAGCTTTTATTTTGCCATTTGTAAAGCTGAGCTCAATGTAATTCCCGCCTCACGTAGTTGTTGTGGAAATCAGTGCGTGTGAAGCACTTGCTGTAGCGTCTGTTGCTTCCATGACAACTCGATCTCATCTTTATCTTAGTAAATTCAGAGGATGCTAAGCAGGCCTGTGACACTGCTGGGCCATAAAGCTGCCTGGTGTTTCCCTTCTTCCTAAAGACGAACGGGGGAGGGTGTGGTACCCAGGCCTCACTTCACCCGCCGGCCGGCTGAAAGACAGTTCCAAATATAACTGGAGATGAAATTGATTCTGTGGAACATTTAACTTTCTAAAAAGACAGAGACTTCTAGGATATACCAGGAAGGGTTGGTTAAAGAGGCACCAGAACAAGAGGGAAACCATGCTTTGTGCTGAGAGCCTGGTCAACTATCCGAGGCTAGTGACGTCATGGGTCTTGGAGGAGAACCTACAGCCTCCACTTTGCTAACCCATCATCATACGTCTACTTTCTAAACATTTGTCTTTATACCCATAGATGTGCAGCCCTCAGCCCTCGTCAAGGAAACCTCTCTTTGCAGCGGGTAGAGAGCTTTACAGACAACCACAACAGAGTAAAGTGGTGGCGCACTCCTTTATTCCCAGCACTCGGGAGGCAGAGGCAGGTGGATCTCTGTGAGTTCGAGGTCTGCCTGGGCTACAAGAGCTAGTTCCAGGACAGGCTCCAAAGCTACAGAGAAACCCTGTCTTGAAAACCCCCCCCCAAAAAAAAGAGAAAGAAAAGAAAGAAAGAACCACAACCAATTGAAATGTAGCATTGTGGAGTCATTCCTAAGAATACATCTACAAAACACGCCTGGACCTAATGTTCAGGAGAAACTGTGGAAGTGGCAGGGAGACTATAAGAGCCAGAGGAGCAGAGAGTTTGCTGTGAGATTGTGTCTCCTAGGAACACCAGAAGTTACACCCATAAAGTCTCACCAACATGGCTGCCTAAACAGGAGCTGATCAAGAACAACAAACCGGGTTGGGGAAAGTCCACAGGGCCCAACCTTATACCTAGAACTATAGGTACGGAATGCTGAGAGCGGCAGAAATCAATTCTTTCCCAGGCTTGGTGGTTTGAATAGGACTGGTCTCCATAGACTCATGTGTTTGAATGCTTGACCCACAGGGAGTGGCACTATTAGGAGGCGTGGCCTTTTGGAGGAAGTGTGTCACTGTGGAGAGGGGCTTTGAGGTCCATGCCCAAGCTATACCCGGTGTGGGATACGAAGTTGTTTCTGTTGCCTGTGGATCAAGATGTAGAACTCTGAGCTACTTCTCCAGCACCGTGTCTGCCTGTGTGCTACCCACCATGATGATTATGGACTAAACATCTGAACTGTAAGCCCCAATGAAATGTTTCCCTTTATAAAAATTGCCATGGTCATGGTGTCTCTTCACAGCAATATAATCCCTAAGACACCAGGGAGGAACACATCAATTGATTATCCAACACCAAATGGTCAGCCCTAAAATATACATACAAATAACATTATACAAACTGAAAAGGTTATATTGAGGAATGACAAAAGGCCATGTATTTGAAAGAGAGGAAAGAGAGGTATATGGGAGGTTTTGAAGTGAGGAAAGGGAGGGGGGAAATGATGTAATTATATTATCTCAAAAGTAAAAGAAGTTCTTAAAATTAAAAAAAGAAGAGAATAGAAATGTTTGTGGGGTATGCTCTGTGGTAGAGAATCTGTTCAGTATAATTACTGAACCGGTATAATCTATTGTTAAATTTAATAACGTCTGAAAGGTTACGAGGGGTGTGAATGGTTGCCAGGGGTGTGAATGGTTACCAGGGGTGTGAAAGGTTACCAGGGGTGTGAAAGGTTACCAGGGGTGAGAATGGTTACCAGAGGTGTGAAAGATTACTAGGGGTGTGAAGGATTACCAGGGGTGTGAACAGTTTCGGGAGGGGGTGTTAAAGATTACCAGGGCTGTGGAAGGTTACCAGGTATGTGGAAGGTTACCAGGGGTGTGAAAGGTTATCAGGGATATGAAACATTACCAAGGATGTTGTGCAATGGTTGACTAAATTTGCAGATTTACTTGAAAGCCCAGTAGTTTATGGATAGTTCTTTCTAGGTACTGAGAGCACAACTTGAGAACTAGATCTTACATCTTCCTGCTTCCCAGTCCTCTCTATACATCTGACTTCCTACAAACATAAATCTGACCCTCACACCACCACCACCACCACCGCCTCTTCACGCTGTTACCCAGCTTTGCCCAGTGCCTAGGCACACCTGGGCTGAGGCTGCAGTTTCCTTTCAGCCTTCACAGACATGCGCATCTAACAGGGCACATGGCAAGCTGTCTGCTTATGTCTGTCGACCCACTGGGCTGTGAGTTCCTGACCAGACAGTGTGTGGTAGAATTCCAAGGTCTAAGGAGTAAATTATTTTCACTTGGATACTTGATGAGATGAAAAGAGACACTTGGGCAATTTTGCTATTACACAATCTTATTCTTTAGAGCCCATAAAAGGGAGCAGCAACCAAACCCTAGTAAGTTGACTGTACAAAAGCATTAGGCTTACCAGTCAGTAGATCCTTGTTTAACTTTTCTCTGCTTATGGAAAGGATATACTGAAAGAAAAAGAAAGTAGACATTGTTTCTGGAGAATGGGAAAATGTAACTCTAAGTTACTTAGAAAGAAAAAATAGTCACTATTTAGCAGGAGGTTGCAAACTGTCTTAGAACCGTTTAGCTAAATGGTATGATAATAATAATAATAATAACAATCATTAGACAATGATAATAATATTAACCAAATATGATATCCGAATTTTTAGCTTAGGCTTTCTGAAATTTTGATACTATAAAAATCAAAACCTTCTCACAGAGAAAATATTAGTTTCATTAATGTAATTTTAATGTTGTGAATTTCATATTCCCACCAGAGCTCTCTAAATATGGTTGTTACATTGCTTCTCTACTGATAACATCGGAGCAAATGCACTGCCACCCCTCCCCCCCCAAAAAACTACCTCCAAGGCCTTAATTTTAGAAAAAGCTGTGTGCAAAAGTAACATGGGGTGGCAGTTGTCAGAGGACAGCCTTTCACTATGACACACGTTTATTTCAGACCGTGTGTTAAAATGCAGCAGGCTCACTGGACTATAATGCAATGCACGCATGGTGTCCAGGGACCAAAATACTTTAAGCATCAATTAAAATGTTTTATTTTAGTTTAGTTTAAAAACAGAAAGAAAAAAGTTCAAGTAAAATAAAAACTGATCTAGAATAATAAATCTTAGGTTGCTTGGACTCATTGTCGCATGAGTAAAGTCACAAAAAGTTAATTTTAAGTATTAGTTACTTTATAGCAAACATGCCTACCAGGGACCATGAAAGTCACAATACGGTCTTACGATTTAGAGTGAATTCATTAAGCATTTAAAGTATAATGTTTTTCCAAATAGTAGGAAACCACACAGTTTTTAGCATGGAAATTCTAACTTACAGCTCTTCTTGTTCTGCAGTAGAAATTTTACCTTAGCAGTCAAATCTAAATTTGGTATAAAAACAACTCCATCGTATTACAGTGACAGTGGCTGAGGAGGTGCTTGCTTCCTGTCGCGGCAGGGCAAGACAAAGCAGTGGTTCCACTATCTTGTATTGGTGCTGAGGCCTGTTTCTACATTTAAGTAGAATCTGAGCTCTCTGATGGAGAATCCCATGGGAAATTGCCCAACTTTATATAGGAAGCTTAGGTCAGGATGTCCTAACTAATTTACCTTACCCTTTGTTAACACCCCTTGTTTGTGCAGAACCTCCCTCCAGCTAACCACTCAGCGGCTGTAAAAAGTGCTTGCTTTGGGCTGTTTACTCTGTGAAGCCCCCACCCCCACTCCCACAAATGCTGAGCAAGATTCCTGGACAAGGCCTCTGCCCTTAAACAAAACAAAACAAAATAAGTTTTTGTTCACTCGAACGGCCAGGGGCTATGGTTCAAGGGTAGAGTACTTGCTCAACTTGCACAAAGTCCTGGCCTCCACAACCAGCACAGCGAGGAAAAACATTCTAGAGGGTGCTAGGAAATGCTCCAATTATAAATATTCCTTTAAATTAATGTGGTGAAAATGGTCTTTGCGTGTTGGTTATAGGGCTTGTGTGCTGTTGGAATCAGCAGACAAAATAGTCCACTAGGGTCACCAAGACTTCTCTATGGTTTACTTCCGCTGGATAGCATTTCCTCATAAGCAAGAGTCAGTGTCGTTCCTGCTGCAGGGCCTGCCTCCAACACCTGTTCCAAAAGGCTGATCCCTCGAGGAACTAATAAGAGTTAAAAAGTCTAAAGATAGAAAGCACAAGGATAAAGACCACGTTAGACAGTTTATTTGGAGATATGTAATGCAGTAGTTTAGTGCAGACCATTTCAAAAACAATGAGGGAAAGCAGTCACTTTCTCTGTCCTCCACGCCTTCAAAGAAAAACACTTCCCACTAAGAGAGCAAAGTATCTTAACTTTGAACATAGACACTTAGGAGTTTGCCAGAAACTCTGACCACTGTATATTGTACGGTATCCTGACAGTTTCCAGGGCAGTCTAGGAGCGAGAGGATACTGTCTAAACAGCCAGGAGGGGTCTATACATAGTGTGGGGGAAAGGGCCAAGAGACACACATTCAAGGTAGAAGGGCTATGGAGGATTTGGGAAGTCGGTTTTGCACATCATGGATATCTAAACTGTGTGTCTTATGCTTCATCCATGGCCCAGAGTGTGGAGGGCCGCAACCACATTCTCCATTGCTTCAAGGGACAAAGGTAGAGACTGACCTCTGTGACCTCAAGGTGTGGTGATACACGCCTTTAGTCCCAATGCCTGGGAGGCAGAGGCAGATTGACCTCTGTGACCTCAAGGTGTGGTAGTACACGCCTTTGGTCCCAATGCCTGGGAGGCAGAGAAAGGCAGATCTCTGTGAGTTCAAGGTGTTGTAGCACACGCCTTTAATCCCAGCGCACGTGCTTGGTAACTTTCTACTGCTGCGTCCCTGCCTACTTCCGAGGCATCATCTGGGATAATGGGCAGCGGACCAATCCAAGAGTGACACGTCCGAAGCGAGGACTGTTTCCTTTATAAGGGCTGGGTTCCCCTCATTCTTGGTCTCCACTTTGGAAGCTTATGCTCTCTCTCTTAAGACGCATTAAAGCTTTTTCTGCAGAAGGATCCTAAGTGTCCCGCGTCGTTCTTGCGGGCGAGACGGTAGCGCGGGACACCAGAGCTCTTCAGTGGATCCATTCTCTCTCCCTCTCTCCCTTTCCCTCCCTTACTCTTCCTTCTCTCCTTGTCCCCCCCCCCCCCGTGTGTGTGTGTGTGTGTGTGTGTGTAATATACATGTGTGATGGTATGGTATGGAGGTCAGGGGAGGGTGTCAGCTGTCCTGTTCTCCCCCTCTCTCTCTCTCTCTCCCTCTCCCTCTCTCCCCCCCCCCCCCTTCTTCTTTTGAGACAGGGTCTCTCACTGAACCCGGAGCTATGCTGGCAGCCAGTAAGACCTGGTGATCCTTCTGTCTCTGCACCCCACAGCACTGCTAATAGAGAGATTACAGGTGTGCCTATGCCTGGCTTGTTATGTAGTTACCAGGTCACTGAGGATTTAATTGTATTTATGTGTATGTATGTGTTCATATGTGTTCATGGAGGTCAGAAGAGGGTGTTGGATTCCCTGAAGCTGGAGTTACAAGTGGTTGTGAGCTTCCCAGTGTGGGTGCTGGCAACTGAACTCAGGTCCTCTAGAACAGTAGCAAGTGCTCGTAACTGCTGAGCCATTCTCTGCAGACTGAATGCTGGGGATTTGAACACAGGGCCTCATGTCTACACAACAAGTAATGAGTCCTCTTCCCAGCTCCAATACAAGCTGATTTTAGAAGTTTTATGAATAGAGACTGATCAGTGGGTAGATTTTGGGTCTGGATCTTGGTGGTAGCCAGCTAATACTGCGAGAGAGGGACCTGGGCACCAAGAGGCTGCAGAGGTCAAAAGAAGGTGGACTACCTGAAGATGTGAAGAAATCTTGGGGTCACAAGGATGCCTGCACTTCCTCAGGCAGAACAGCTGTATGGTTCAAAGCAACTCAATATAGCTCTTAAAGGGCGAAGTAGACTTTGTGTTGGACTAAAACACAAAGATGTCAGTGCAATCATGCAGAAACTGAAGAGAGGGGGTGGCTGTAAACTTAGCATCCACCCAGTTCATAAGAATCAAGAAATAGCAGTGGCAGTGGGAGAGGGACCACTTCCTCCCTATTATAGTGAAGGTTCCAAAATTGGAACTCCCCCACACACCTGCTCCCTCTTGGGGAGTCAGTCCCCACCATAACAGCTGAAGAAAGCAGCATGGCCTCTGGGCCCAGTCACTGTCTCCATCCAGTTTCTCTGGTATTTCAGCTCTGCCTTCTTCTGTCCACGGATATGTGATTGACCAAGGTTCTGGAGTGAACTTGGTTGGACAGCTCAACCTCCTTAGGATGTTCCATTGTAATCCAAAGAACACTTACCATGGAGACAGAGAGCAATGGGGCGTCAGGCAGTGCTGCCCAGGCTTCCCTGTCACAGCCCTGAGAAGAAAACTTCCTTCTTGGTGCATCTCATGCAAGTCTGCTGCCTGTTCCTCTTTTATAAAGCATGGTAGCTGTGTTCAAGTTCAATAGCTCTCAAGATGACGCTATGCTAGAGTGAACTTATAGGCCCTCTCCATCAAACGTCAAAATGATGTCTTGTCCAGCTTTCCTCCATTCGATTAGACTGTCTTCCAATTGACTTAAAATTTCTACCAAGTTGTTCACATTCTACTTGCTCTGTAGCCTTTTTGTAAGTTACAACTTCCCCCTTTCTCCAAGCCGCTCTTCAATTTCCTGTCCATACCACACAGAGAGGCTTCTGTCATCCTGGTCTATTGATGTCTCCTCCCATGAACCAGATGACTGCCCCTTGTCCTTCAGAAGAATGTGAACCTTGCTTGGGCTCTGTGCTTCATAGGGCATGACTCCATAAATATAAAGCAGTCTGGGAATTGCTCTCTTGTTGATGGACACTTGGGACCTTTAGTCTCTCTCCAAGAAATAAACTCAAAGGGTATAATTAGATGTAAATACATTTTTCTCCTAGCTATGAATGTTGGTATGTAAAAGACAAGAAAAACACAGGGCAGGATAACAGATTTGTTTTCAAATACGACATCTGGCCTCTGTTGTTTTAGGAATTATGAAGTACCGAAAGCATTTCTGGCTCATTCTGTACATTCTATTATAAGCAAATCTAGGGCAAAAGGGTCATTTGGGGGAGGCAACTGCAGCGCAGAACTGTCCTTGTACACGATACTCAACAACAAATAACATGGTAATTTTCTCTAATTGAAAAGGAGGCAGAGGGCACTCCACACAGCTGGGCAGCAGGAGCCACACACAGAACAAGAACTGGCCTCAGTATGAGATCAATAGGAGGTCAATGGGCGGTATTGACGGAACCCTGGCTATAGCATCTATGAACAAGCTATCTAACTAGTACATGTGTTCCTGGCATCGAGACTGAGGCTGGAGGTGTCCAAGTTAAAGGAGGGGCTAACGAGCAAGGGGCACATTGCTGGCACTGGACTCGGTTAGAATTGATGATTAATCCACTGCCTCCAGGGGAAACCTACCTGAGAACTGTTCCCATAGGGAATTGCAGACTTCTTTCCTGAGAGAGAGTGGATCATTCTCGCTCTCATGGGCACTCCTTTGGAAACGACCTGAGAAGAGCCAGAAATAATCATTTGCATTGCTGTGATAGACCACCACAAGAATTAAATAGATGTGAATTTAAACGTGATTTTTAAGGTTAAACCTTTAAAGGGACCCAGGAAACCTAATGTGGTTGAACAGTCACTCAGTGAATACTTTGCCCTGAGTATGTTAGTGTTTCTTTAATTGGGAAAAAAAGCAAACGTTTATCTGGTTTAAAACAGATATCACAGACTGGGGAGTGGCTAGGTGTTAGAGGTACTGAGGTGGGGGATAAGTGATTTTCTTAAGACCATGGAAAGGGTCATCGTGAGGAGAAAATGCAATCCTCTGTGGTTTCTGTTGTATTTCCTTGGCCGTGAGTTTGTGGTTAGAGGCAAAGTCACATAAGATAGCAAGCAGGCCCACCCTCAGTTCCTTTTGTCTTCCTTCAAGGATGGACTCTAACCTGTAAGAAGAAGTGAACCTTTCCCTCTCCTAATTTGCTTTGGTCAATGTTTCATCATAGCACCTGAAAGGAACCTAGAAACGAACCTAGAGCACCTCTACCCACCCAACCAGAGATCTACCTTCTGTAAGAGCCTGGTGTGAGATACAATACCAGTCGGTATTGAGCTGTCATGCCTGTGACTTTGCACCCCCAGTCCTCAAGTCTACAGACCCATCACGTGTTAAGGGTCCACTGGCCTGTCAAATCTGGAATTTCCCAAGCCTTTGCTGAATGAATTTTTATATGCAGGTTCTTGGTATCAAGTGACATTTCATATCAGAATATAAATCAATGCCATGGGATTGTTGAAAACCAACCATGAGGACTATAGCAACGGCTTAGTGAGCAAGAGAACTCACTATGCAGACACGAGGACCTGTATTTGGATCCCAGTGACAAACTCAATGGTCAGTGAAAGACCCCGTCCCAAGAGACTAAGAGAATAAGGTAGAGATTGGCAGAGAGGGCACCCAACACGTTCCTTTGGCATTTGTGGGCACTAGTGTGGGCATGTTCACCCAACACATATGTGAACACATAGGTCTACGGCACACACACACATACACATACACACACAGACACATAAGTGCACACACACCTTTTTTAAAGGACAAAAACTGCATCAACAATGTACCTGGTCTTCCAGACCTATGGCCTTCAAGGCCTGCCGTCCTCTATAAGAAAGGGCCAGGTTAATGCTTCTTCCACGTGTTAACTTAGCCACTCGAATATCTAAAAACAGGAAACAGACTCTGTGTTGCACACTTCCTCAAATGTGGGAAGGAGTGAAAAAATCCCGGCATTTGAGCAATAGTTCAATTCAGAATCATATTAAAAGACTCATTGACTCATCTAAAGAAAATACCAGGTGTAAATTAGTAGTCAATTAAATTTAGATCACCAATGCTTTAAACGTGTTCTAATAGTTCTTATATCTTAAATTTCTTTTATTACAACTTCTTTCAGAAAACCCAAAGACATGGATCAAACAATCGGAAACTTCCCCCATTTTCCATTACCCACTTACCTTCCCTAGCTTCATATACATCAACTTGAAAATTCCTCTTTGCAAGAAAGCATGCGTTCAGAGCTCCAACCTAGAAATCAAAATCATCCTTTTTCATGTCTTCATCTGGTGCTGTACACACATGGACATTTTGGTAGAAAACGCAATATTGTGTATGGATGGATATATTAGTCCACTCGTTATATTGACTTAGTTGTAAAAGGACCAGAGGTAAAAATCTGTGAAATAATCTAGGTTGATTGTGCATTTCTATAATCCAGCCGAGGCCAGAGGTTCTGGAGTTCAAGACCTGTGTGTGCAACCTAGGACCAGTCTGTCTCAGTGTCAGCGGGTGACTGGGAACACTACCTTTGTCTAGCATGTGCAGAGTTCTAAATGCATTCCCCAGTAATGGGAAAGAAAAGAACAAAATCATCACATTAATTCAAGATTAAGTGGTATAGTTAAAGACATAGGTTTGGTTTTTTTTCTGCAACTGAATGGACACATGTTAGAATACTTAGAGAAGATCTTTTCATAATCAAATAAATCAGAAAATATTTTACTAGCATCCCCAAATGGCCACTACAAAGGAGTGAACAAAAGAATTCTGGTGCATTTACACAAAAGTATAAGTGAAGAGTGAGGTACAGATGATTCGTACTGTGTGACATTCTTACAAAAAGGATAATAGAGACAGAGCCATGGGTGTGTATGTGTGTGTGTGTGTGTGTGTGTATGTATGTATAAATATATTTATACTTATTAACACATATATGATCATATGGTATGGATATGATAAAAATACTAATTAAAAAGAAAATATCCATGTCAGTGTTCTAGTGGGTAAGGAAGAAGTCAGTCGAAGTCACTAGAATATATTAGTTCTCGTGTTGAGGGTGAGCTCGTGAGAGCTTATTATTCACAATAAACTAGCAACAACAACAACAAAAGTGGTAACTATGAATTCCTTCTTCAAGTACAGTCACAATGGTATATCAAAGACTATGAGGATTGCAGTTCTGTGTAAGTGAGGTTCAGATGACGCTAAGATGAAAACCTAGGCATGTAAGTTCAGCTGCCGAGGCTGCTTCCATGGCTAGGGAGGCAGGCTTTATGCTCTGAATGTGTTACCCCCTCTCGCTTTCTCTAGAAAGCACATAATTTGGAGTAACTGCGCCATCTTCGGCTGTTAGGTGCCGAAGTGACGAAGAAGACAAAAAGAGATACACAGAAAAGTGAGGTGCAAACCACTCTGAGACTTATAGCTCCGGTAAGACACAGCTGGGTTCCTGACCGCAGAAAGGAGGGTGGAGGAAGGAAGAAACTGGGCACAGTAAGCCGGACTCCCTGAGGGTAGCCTGCCATAAGGGCGTGGATATTGGTGAACTGATTCTGCCTCTGGTCTAAAGCTCTGCACCCAGAGCCCACAGCAGTAAGTGGGGGTGGGGGTGGGGACGAAGTGTGAGGAGTAAATTCTAGCACGGAGGCAAGACTGGGTTCTGTGAAGTACTTCAGAAACCCACCAAGACTATTAGAGAGAGACAGACAGAGGCCGTGAGAGGTAAAACTTCTTTGATGAAACCAGAGCCTCAAAAGATGGAGGAAGGTTCACAGAAACATCAAAAGTGTCCCCTGATCCCCGAACAAAGGAAGACAGACTCCCACAGCCTCCCACAGCCCATCAGAGTCCGCCCCACCTGTGGGAAGATATCCCAGAGATGGAATGACAGAGAGAAATCTCAGAGCCTAAACATGGGCAGGAGCATGAGTGGTGACACAGAGGAGCATGGTGAAACTAAATGGGTCACAAAACCAAAGTCAGGAATCTGGGAGACAGGTCTGGCGGAGGGAGCTGGGAGCAAGAGTAGCAAGGGTGGGGAGGAGCAAGAAAGTGGTACGCGTTTTATACCATGAAACTGTCAAGGAACTAAATAAAGGAAAAACTACAAAAGAAAATACAATGTGGTACACGTACACAATGGAATTTTATTTAGTTGTAAAGAGAAATGAAATCATAACATTCCAGGAGAATAGATAGAGCTGGGGACAGTTTTGTTGAGTGGAGTACACCAGATTGTAAAGACAGACAGCTTGTTTTCACTCAGACATAAAAGACAGATTTAAATATGTGTAGAGGGGTCATGAAGGTAAAACAGGAACTGTGATGGGAAGGAAGAGGTCAAAAGGAGGGAGGGGCCAGCAGGATTAATGGGATGCATATGTATGCCATAAAAACAGAAGGGGAGCTCTCTGTGGGGAGAAGGGGGGCCAGCAAGAGGCAAGGAGGGAGGCCAGGGAAGGAAACCTGTGAAGGATGAACAGAAACAAAGTATAAAGAAATACAGATCAGGAAAATATAACCAAAGAAATTCATTTCTTTGCAAAAATATTTAAAAATTTCAGTAAAAAACCAAACGGAGATTTGTTTTAGTCTTATTAAAATAGGAGCACTAAGGAAAGCTAGCAGCAAGTTCTCTGCATGTACGTATCAGTAGCATTTGTAGAAATGACAGACTTGACCCAAATGACACACTGTAAAGACCTTGACTCAAGACTGCACGAGTTTTGCTGGGTTCTGTGCACCAGGGATATTTCTTTCAGAAGTGAAAGTTCCGAGTGCCCTGATTTTGTCAGTAGAAAGGATCACGTGGAGAATAATGTAGAGATGTCTGTGTAAGGAGTGCAAAAACAAAAAGGCCGAAGAGTTGAGTTTAACACTCAGGATTTGGTTTTAACCCAAGAGGGAGAAACTGAGGGAAGTAGAGACTGAAGAAACCCAAAGGGTTGCCTGAGCTGCTGGCTAGCGGCAGACATTCCTGTGCCTCTGGGCTGTGCCCACTCACTAGGCTCACTTCACATTGGCTGTGGTGTGGAAAGATCTCCGGGTCACTGAGCAGCTCCTAACCCTTGAAACCAATTTAGCATCAACAGTGTTCTGAGTTTGGAAAGAGCTGTCAGAGACAAACTCAGCCATGACAGCTGAGTAGCTTAAGGGCATGTGTAGGAAGCGATTTCACGGTGGAAGAACTCGAGTGTTATTCGGGGAGAAATCCACAGAAAACTGGCACACTTTTACGTCTTCTACAATCGTATGTGGGTTTGCTCCCTCCCCACTTGCATTTCTGAGGTGCTTAAAGAGCCATCCTTGCTGCTCCCCTTGCGTAATTCACGGATACAGAAGTTTTCTAACCGGTCTTGCTCCTCCTAATTTCCCTAAAAGTTCTGCATAAAAAGTCTGGGGATGTCTGTTTACTTGTGATAAAGCTCAGACTTGCCTGGAACTTTGTATCTTTCCTCAGCCTGCCGGTGTTGAGTACCAGCATGCTTTACCATGGCCAGCATGAAGGATCTTCCAAATTATAGTTTATCTTCTTCCTAAAATCTCCCCAAGGCCTTCAAACGCTATGCAACTTTGAGTTAAGTACAGCCTTCTTCCTGATCCTCTAAGATGCTGCAGGTGCTGTCTATGTCAGTTTTGCATCTCATGGAGGTGACTGGTCCTATCTTGTCTGAAGGCTGTCCTTGACCTTACTACAAGACCCTCTGCAAGCATTGCCCTGCTTGCACAGTTCTTGAAGCTCCCGGTTGTCTTGTGTTCTTTTTTATTGCCTTTCTCCTCCCTAGAATGTTGACTCCTTAATCCATATCTTAATATCTTAAGACCATAGGCAGGGATACATACGTTCTCATTTTGTTCAACAATTTGATAGGAAGGAGTTAGAGCGAGGCCTGGCCTGAAGCCTGGCTGACAATCACAGAATGCGGTGATCTTCCTTAATGCTTGGTTTTGATTGCCTTTGTTGAGACACAGGATCTTACTGTGTGTCCCACACAGGCTTCTGTCTCTACTCCCCTGCTTCAGTCCGTCAACTCCTAGGATGTGGGCAACCCAACCTGCTCATTTCTAGGCATTTAAAAAATGTAGAATCAGATATATCAAAGGACTTGTCATATCTGGTTTTTGCGAAAAAATGTGTGTGTGTGTGTGTGTGAGAGAGAGAGAGAGAGAGAGACAGAGAGAGAGAGACAGAGAGAGAGACAGAGAGAGAGACAGAGACAGAGAGACATTTTCCTTAGCCACTCATTTTCTGGTGGGTATCCAGGCTGACCCTGTAGCCTAGCTGCTGGGAGTACTGTGGCAGTACACATAGGCATGCTGGCGTCTCTACAGAGAGCTGATTTGATTATTTTAGGTATAAGCTGGGAAGTAGTGTAGTTGGATTGTAGAGAGATTCTATTTTTAATTTTAAGGAGCCGCTGAGTGATAGCTTCATTAACTGGAATATCCTATCAGAGTTCTAGTGAGAGGAAAAATATATAGTTTTCTTTTTCTTTTGAGAATGAGCTAACTTTGATTGTAAAAATATGGCACACATTCACACTCCTTCCTCCCCTCGAGGGCAAAATATCAACACCATCTCACATCTTGCTAGGTCTGAGTGACACCTCTGTGGCCTCACCTGTTGGGCTAAAAAGTAAGGGGCTTACGCGCCATCCCTGTCACATTGGAACTGCCAAGTGATATGGGTAAGCAAATGTGTTACTTCTCATTTATCTGGATAGCTAATGAGTATCTGACAGATTTTTAAAAACTATTCATTTCCTTTGCCTTGACCCTTTTCTTATCATTAGAGAGTACTAAGTTATTTTATTAACCATAGTGCACCAAAATGTTTTTATTAAAATGGCCTAAGACACATAGCCATGCTTGGGAGCAAAATCAAGTTCATTTTTTTTTGTAACTACTAAACCAAAATAACAAAAGAAAACAGATACTCTTATACTTAGTGGATATAAAATATCTTTCCCAGAAAGAACAATTGAAAACAAATGCTGTTATCAGATTAATTGCCGAGAGGGCTCTCAGCTGATGAAGAGACTATGGTACTGATACACAATGGAGTAGAATTTAGCCATAAATAAGAAAGAAAATCTGTTGTTTTAAAACAAGAATATATATTAGGTCATTTTAATAAAAATGGGTGGATTTGGAGGACATCAGAAAAAATGAATAATATAAATACATAAAGACAAGTACTGAATATGCTCTATCACTTATGGAATCATACACACACACAGAGGAGGGCGGAGAAAGAAAGCCTAACAATGTAAGAGACTCAGAAGGAGACGTGAGGCGTGAGTGAGGAGGAGGGTAGAAGGGTGGATAGACAGTGTGCATACATAGCAATATCAGCAGTTATTGTGTTAATAATTGTAATAAAAAGCAATGTCATATTTACAATAGATGTATTTAAAGAGTAAAAGGTTTAACTGTTAGGATCAACAACCTACACATGATAAACAGTCATTAGTGGGATAATACTATTAATAAAAAAAAAATCCAAAGAGCAATACACGCCTAGACGGTCTTACCAAACCACCGCCGACAACAGCCACTCTTGATCCTCCAGTATCAGATGAGGCCATAGTTACCTGAACACCTCTGTCCAGGTTGGAACTCTCTGTCCTACATGCTGCTGTTTTGTGACCTTTTTATTGCCAGAGGTCCAGAGCCTTTGCGAGCCAGCCAGCAGCAAGGTTAGGACAAAGCTCACTTCCTTCAGTAGTGTTTAACTCGCTAGGAGCCCAAAGTCCAATCAGCTCTGCTCTCAGAGACAAGTCATTGCGACAATCAAAATTTGAAAAACCCCAGTCAAGTACAAGACTTTTTTTTTTTTTAAATAGCAGTCTTGTGCTTTTTCTTCTTCTTTTTCTACTGCATGTGTTAGTTTCGTTTTCATTCAAAATATGGTTATGAATGAAACTTGTCTGAGGTTCCCAAGCATCTTCCGCTTCTCAGAGAGAGTGGAATGACCTGGATTCATACTTATCCTTGATGCTGGGACAAACCAAACATCTGGCCTTGAAAGGTCCTTGTGGGCTGGTGGTCGTAAGCCATCTCTGCTGGGAAGCATGTTCTATTGTCTTTGTTTCCTGAGCAGGATCTTTGGATGTGGAACCAACTGACCACATGTTCTCTTTCTTGGTGGTGTTGTTTTAGCACTGGATTTTAGAATCTAGTTTGTGTCTTGCCACAGACAAGACGGTGAGTTCACTGCATCTCTAGACCCACGTCTGGCATCTGATCTCAGGGCATCTGATCACTCTTTTGACTTTTGAGATGTATAGTTGGTTGCAGAGGGTGTTATTCATGAGTTGTGTTTCTTTTCTGGAATGTATTCTGGTATAAAGTAAAATGAAAGCGTAAATGAAGATTTCTTTCTTTCTTTCTGATTTCTGGTCAGAATGCAAAGAATTCAGAGGGTCATTTCCTTGGGTAGGGACTGGAAGGAAACACCAGTCGATAGCGCCCCCTCTGGGTGAGTATGTTAGAAGCACTAGAAAACAGCACTTATAGTAGGTACATAACACATCATATGAAGTTAAAGAAATAGCAAGGGCACAGAGGAAAGGGCAATTCTTCTATGAATTCTGTCTCTCCGGGAGCCGAGTTTTTTTTTTTTTTGCCCAGAGACAAACATCTAGCAATAATTTTGCTGTGTGGATTACCCTATCCAAGCCCCCTGAATGTCGTGTCCATCCCCACCCTTTCGTTTTTCCTCTCCTCCCCTCCTTTCTTCCTTCCCTACTTTCTCACTTGACCTCACTTTCCCCCTTTCTCTTTCTTCCTTTCCCTTTCAACAGAAATGTTAGCAAAACCACACATCTTTTCACCCCATTTACTTTCTTTCAAGTAAGAAGGTGTAACTCAAGAGTTCTTCAGTTTCAACATAGGAAAAAAAATGGATCTTTAGAGAAGCTTTTTAAAAATTAAGGTCTATGACACAAATATGTAAAGTACTTAAGCACAAACGGAAGTGTGACAGCTTCCGGCACAGCATGTGCCAATCACGGAATTCTAGAAGGAAAACACTGCCAAGTTTCTTGAAGTCTGCTGGCCCAGGTCCCTCGCTCCTCACAGAGTGAGCCTTGTGCCAACGCCATCTTCTGCTTGCTTCTGGTTGCAGCATCTGTACCATCATACATGCATCTTACAAACAGTCTAATTCTGTATCTCTTTTTAAACTTTACTACAAGTGAACACATAATTGTGTGTGTGTGTGTGTGTGTGTGTGTGTGTGTGTGTGTGTGTACACGTGAGTGCCCATGCACATGCATGCAAGTTTCATCACGGGAGTTGAACCTAGGGCCTCACACACGCTAAGCACTCTGGCTTCCACTGCCCATATCCTCAGCCCTGTTTTGTTGCATAGCTTGGTTCTGTTTCTCAGTGTAATGTTTCTTGAGATCCATCTGCATTTGGTCACGTAGCTCTGGCTTGTCACTTTTCATGGCCATATTGTTAATCTCCCGGTGTTGCCATGTTCTGAAATCTTGAGGTATTTCAGATTCTTGTTACGGAGCTTACTGTGTTCTTCCCTAAAAGTTCCTGGATTCTTGTCTTTGCCCCTAGAGTTCCAACGTTTCTTGTTAAAGTATTTGCTCTGGCTTGTTCATATTTGCTTGATCAATGGAGTTCTCTTCTCTTAAAAAAGATGCATCTGTATTTTAAAATGACATGTATTTGTGAGGAGGTATGCACATGACAGTACACGTATGTTCAGAGTCCTGAAGAGAGCAAAGGCTCCCTCGGAGCTAGAATCACAGGTGGTTGTGAACACCGCACAGATGCTGGGAACCAAACTTGGTCCTCTGCCAGCGCAGCATGGGCTCTTAATCACTGGGCCATCTCTTCAGTCCCAATGGCCCTTTTGGGAATTTATTGGTTTAAAAGTTTTATCAAACTTTATTCCTGTATGTCATTTAATGTTTACTGTACCAGACTGCCAATCTTATAAACACATCCATACTGCTTTTCTTATTTTTTGGTGTTTGCTCTAATTCTTGGGAGAATTTTATATTTCTATCTTATAACTTCATCTAGAATTCTCTTATATATACAGCTCTTTATGTTTGTATCTTACAGGTTTCCAAAAAACAAAACAAAAACTTCCTACTAACCACCCAAGCTAGGTGGTCTATTTATACCTCTAAGTCTTTATTTAAAAGAGGGAGAGGCCCCTCCCCTGCTCAGTCCCTTTCCTCACTGCTAGAGTGGAACCCTGGAGCCTTGTGCCTGTGTTTCACTCCCGAACTATTGTGTGAGACCCGAAACAATCTGAACAGATTTGAATCGTGCTATCAATTCTGTCAGCTAGGAGTTCAGATTTAGAGCAGAAGAGAAAACCACTAGGTCAGCACTTGCCTCTTAAATTAGGACAAAGGCCATAAAGAACAGAGTGCAATAAATCAGAAACACAAACAAATCACGGAGTGTCAATGAGAACAAAACAGGTCACCATCATCAGACAAGTCCAGAGTTTTTTAAAAAAATAGAATCCTGAGCAATGCAAAATGATTATTTTACCTAGCTATAAGGTTTCACCCTAAATTAAAGATGTATAGTGCCTACTATTACTGAAAAGACTTTAAATCCATTTTCATTATTGACAGCAATCAGCTAAGCCACAGTTTCCCACATTTCAGCCACTTGTATTCCACCTTCTCTACATGTTTCATCATTTTTTCTATTTATTTATGTTCTTATACATTTTATTTAACTAAAATGGAACTTTCTATTGCTGTTACAAGTACAAAATTGTTTTTATTAATAAATAGAAATTAAAAGTTAATAGTTGGGAATTTTTTGGATATCAATGTTCTCTTTGCAAAAAGGACCATAGTGGGTACTATCTCATAAAATTTCTTTCAGTGTTTAATTAATTAATTAGTACATTTTAAATGACATACATCTGTAATCCCAGCTCTGGAAATATTGAGGCAACAAGACTGCAAATTCAGGGCCAGCCTGGGCTACATGGTATTTCAATAAAAGAAAAACCATAAAAAGAATAAAGAAACATTTCTGGAATATTTTATATGTCATAGGTGATTGTTAAAAATATATTAAGTAACCCATTCATTCAAAGCTCACCATGAGGGAGGGATTTCAGAAAGTTAAACTGGGCTGTAGGAACTGGAACTAGGCTTGGAAAAGAAATGAAACAAACAAACAGAAATAAAAGGGTAACTCTAATCAGATTAAACTTGTACAGGTACCAATATTGAAAAGAACTTGAAATAACCAACAGTAATACAAATAGACATCACTGGGTCCTGGAGGCAACTCAGAAGGTAAAGACATTTGCTGCTAGGCCTGAAGACCTGAGTTCGTTCTCTTCATCCACATAGAGGAAAGAGAGAAGCAGTTCCCACAAATTGTTCTCTATGTGTGCCTTGTGGCACCAAAACCCAAACCAAAAATCACAAAAAAATGTAAATAAAATTTTTAATTCATTAAAAAGAATACTGTTAAGTTAAAAAGATCACAACTATATTCCTAATACAGTACTCCGGTTCAGACATAGGCTTTAAAATGTCTTTATTTCCTTTTTTTTTTTTTTTTTTTGATACAAAGTCTCATTATGTAACTCTGGTTGTCCTGGAGCTGACAGTGTAGACCACACTAGCATTTAATATACAGAAATCCCCAAGCCTGTGCTTCCCTAGTGTGGGGACGAAGGGGTGCACCATCATGCCAAGTATGACACGAAACTGTGAAACCATTGCTTGTGTATTAGTGACTGAAGCCTCACACACTGATGAACTGGAAGGGCAAACACGAAGGAAAATGTGAGCCTTTGGGAAGGGGAGAGGAAAACTCCACTCAAGTTTAGAAATGTAACTTCTGTTTCCTTAAGGGTATGTAACAAACACAATGTTAACCGTGTCCTCAGAGATGACAAGAAGTGACACATGTTTGTGTTATTTTGTGGCAGGAGAGCAGGGCAGGGAGAAAGGGATTCAAGGAGACATACGAAATAACTAATGCAGAAGAAAACTGAAGTTAGGTCTCAGCAGCAGGGACAAATGGTTGAGGGGCCTATTAACATATCAAGGTGGATGCTGGCCAGCTCTCCCAGCATCCCTCAGTACCGATGGCTACTTCCCAAACCTCTCACTCTGCCCTTTCCTAAACATCTCCTTCCTAGGATCTGGACTTCCATTAGAAGTAGTCATGTCCTTCTCCTTTTATTCCATTTTTTTCATTTAACTGGAACTCTGGAGTTCATGCCCCCACTGTCTTCACAATTAACTGTGGCTGCCCTTTAATGGCGAAAGTGTAAACATTTGGGTTATGAGGTCTGCTACTTTATATGACTATACTTTATCATTTTTCCTTTCTCCTTTCTTTTTTTCTTCCTTCCTTCCTTCCTTCCTTCCTTCCTTCCTTCCTTCCTTTCTTTCTTTCTTTCTTTTTTTTTTTTTTCCGAGACAGAGTTTCTCTGTGTAACAGCCCTAGCTGTCCTGGAACTAGCTCTTGTAGACCAGACTGGCCTGAAACTCACAGAGATCTGCCTGCTTCTGCTTCCGAGTGCTGGGATTAAAGATGGGCACCACTACTTCCCGACCGACTGTACTTTATTTTAATGCTGTGGTTTTTCTAACCTAACTTTTAAAGCAAACTTGGTTTTACCTTTTTCACCAAATAGTTGAGAAATTTCTCCACCATTACTTAAGAAAGGCAAGAGACACTGATGGCTGAAAAATTGTCACTGATTTAAGCATTTTGGG